GCGGGAGGTGCGCAAGATGGACGGGTGGCTCAGCCTCGGGGGCGCCCGGCCCGGCCCATCTTCTCCGGCCGTCTCCTCATCCCTCTCAGCGGCGCCTTGTTTACGCTCGGCTAGCGGCCGAAGCCTCTGCGCGCGTGCGCCATCCCGCCCCTCCTTTCCCAGGAGCCTCTTGGCCCTCGCGCAGGCGCCTTGGAGGAAGATGGCCATCCTAGGAGGGCGGCGGGCGCCTGCGCACGGCTCCCGAGAGCCGCCGAGCTGGGCTTTGTGCGCAGGCGCGGCTCTGATTTCTGGCTGCAGGTTGTTTTGCAGAGAGAAAGGGATGGAAAAAGCGGTTCAAAAGACGAGGCAAAAAGATTCCAAAAAGATAACTCGATCATTGAAGCCGGTTGTGAGCGCTTAGCTAAAAATAGCCAAATAATTTAAAAATAGAGCCCAAAAAATAAAAAGTGAAGACCTGATTCATTTGCTAGCTCAAGGAAGGGAGCGCAGCGAAATGCAAGATCAAGCCAATGAATGGAAAGAACCATTAATGTTTTTGGAAAAAAATACAGAAATGGAACAAGGTGCAAATTCAGCCTGTACAATAGTCCTCATTTTTGCTCCCCTTCTAATTTCACCAGAGAAGCGAATTTGAAGGAGCTTATTTAACCAAACTACAGTGGAATATTTCATTTTTGCAATATTCTCTTTCAAAGGATGATGCTTCTGCCATGCGACTTTTCCCAGACACAATCAAGGGTGTCAGGAAGTTATTTTGTCCCTTAAGGCCATTTCTAAGCTCATCCTCTCGTTAGATCAGCAAGACAGCCAGGCCAGAGGTGACTCACGCTAAGTGCTGTCTCCATTAGCCGATAAGCAGAAGAGATTTGCTTACCCTGAGCCTCTTCTGAGGATGCAAGCCTTGGTTTGCATGAAGGGCAACAGATGGCGGTGGAAGAGCAGGGAAGCGAAAGAGCCGCAAAATTGAATCAAGAGATTTCCAGGGGTGGAGGGGAAGAAACACAAAGGGCTTATTAATTTCCCAGGCCCCGGTTCTGTTTCATCGGCCGGCTTGATTCCCTGGGCACAGAGGAAGCTTTGTAAGGCTGCACTTCTAAACACGCTTCACCCGGATTTTATCAACATCTGGTGCTGAAAATCACCTGCACCTCTGGGCACTGCAGGCAGAAGGGCCTAAATTTACCATCCTAGGATCACCAGTTAAAAGGGGAGGGGGCCAGTGCAGATGTTGTAAATGGGATGACTGACTGATTGATTATGTACCATCAAGTCATTTTCGACTCCTAACAACCACAAAGATTTTCTCCGTGACGATCTATTCCTAACCTGGTCCTTAGGTGTCCCAACAGTGCCCCCGTCGCCACTGAGACTGAGTCCCCCCACCTTGCTGCTGGTCATCCTCTTCTCTTTCCTTCCATTTTTCCCATCCTTGGAACCTTCTCCAGAGAGTTGGGTCTTCAGAGGATACTTTGAGCCTGGTCCTTTGTGCCTCTAGTGAGAGCTCCGGGGTGATTTGTTTGATGATCCATTTGTTCATTTTCTTGGCCGTCTGTGGTATTCTCAGAGTCTCCAACACCAATGTTCAAACGCATCGATACTCTTCCTATCCTGCTTCTTCAAAGTCCAACTTTCGTTTCCATAGAGGGTCACAGGGAATAGCATGGCTTGTCCCATTCTGATCTTTGTAGGTGGAGACACATCACGGTGTTTGAACATCTTTTCCAAGGCCTTCATGGCTGCTCTTCCAAGTGCTAATGAGCTGACCAACCTCACATACACTCCCATTTCAGAGGTCCTTGGAGATGTGCCTTTACGGGTTGCAGTTCTGGCTAGTGGCACCAGAGGGCAGAGGCGAGCATCAAATAAAAAGGTTTAGAATTAGAAACATGAGTTCAGCATCGGATCTTGGTACAGGGCGTGTAACTCCAGTAGAAAGAGATGCATTGGTGGCTCTTGCATCCACTAGCTGGTTCTTCACCCACACAGGCACAGCTAAACTTTTGAAGCTTGCAACAATTCAAGGTTCAAAATCCTAGGTTGGGTCAGGGCAGAGGCCATGAAGCTGAGTTGGAGCATTTTTGCCTCGGGGGATTTTATCTGTTTACTTGTCCTCACCGACACAGAAATAAAGCAAATGGCTTTCAAGTAGTTGTGCTCCCAGCTAATGCTAAATTTGGTCTTTTAATTGACGGTTGATTTTTCCAGACCCTATTTTGTGGTTTTACTATATTTTTATTGTTGTATTTTGTAAGATGTCCAGAGTTGTATCAGATGGTGGGGGTGACGGTATGTGTGAAACACACTGTAAATCTCATAAATCAATAAATAGGATTGCAGGCAGGTTCCAGCATTTTGTAAGAATGTAAGAAAGTAAGCCGCCTGGATTTTTGCAACATCGACCATGGATTTCTTGTAGAATTTGGCTTTAACATATTCTCCCCCTCAAGACCATTTCTTTAACGATATCAAAGAAACTTGGTTTGTGAAATGTTTTTCAAACAGCAACCAAACCCCTGATAATAAGGAGCGGCGAGGGCAGAATTCCTTAGGTTTTTGCAGCTCCAGGTGTTAATAAACCACCGCCGGGCAAATTTAGCTGCTTTTCCTAAGTTATCGCAATTACTTTTTTCTCTGATCAGCATAGGATGGAGCTCTAAAAACAAACAAGAAAAAAAATGATCTTCCTCCAGATGTAATTTTTAACGCTTACAAATTGCGGGGAAAGAATTGCATTCTCTGTTACTCTCCTCCCCGTCAATATTAAATTGATTTTATTGCATTTATATTCTACTTCCCTCCGGCAGGTGTGGTGGCATCAATAGCTTTTCTCCTCCAATTTATCCAAATAATAACCTCGTGGTATAAAGCCAGGCTAAGTAAGAACTCCCATATTTTCCGTCTGTAAAATGGGTCTGTTTATTTGCCGGGGTGGGCTTGAAATTTCCTCAACCTGGTGCCCTCCAAAATCTGTTGGCATTGCATCCACACCATGATGCCTGAGAATGATGGGGGGCTGTTGTCCACACATCTGGACGGTGGCAGGTTGGGGGAGTTGAGTTGAATCATTGGCCTCGAGGCTGAAGGAAGAGCCCCCCCCCCCCCAAGGCTGGCCATTAAGTGTATTGAATGTTGAGAGGTGCGAATATTTCTCCCAAGTGGCAGCCAGGGAATTATTAAGCTTGTCCAGCTGAGAATGACCTCTGTCCCCTCCCACCGTCACCCTACCGCAAGTTCTGCCATTATTCCGCTATCTGCTTCAAAAGATGCTGGTTGCCCTGGCAACCAGATCCAGGTTTTAAAAATAGTAATGTGTTTTTCATTCAGCTCCTCTTCTGCCCTTACAACCAAGGCTATTTTTGTCCTGCCAGTTTATTTCAGGTCTTTCTTATCCCCGATGAACTGGGTGCCCCCATCCAGGTGGAGCAGCCTTAGTGCTCTCAAGGTTCCAGATGGCCCTGGTTTGTGCAAATCTCTGGATATTTTCCCCTAATTACCAGGCACTCAACTGGAGATTGTAGCCTGAAGGGGACTCTTGAGCAAAAGCAGAGATTCTGCTACTGAACACACATTAGGTTTCTCCTGGCCTTTCTTAGAAAATTCTTCCCATCATTTACCAGCTTCTATCCTCCTTCTGCCATTCTGTTTGCCATCTTTTGCTGTTCCTGTGCAAGGCTCCTTGGTTTCTTTAAAAAAAAAAAAGGCACCTGGATCGCTGGAGATTTCATCTGTCTTGCTGAGTCAACCAACCATTGTTGTGCTAAACGAGGATGGGCATTAGGTCACGTCAACGATGGCTGAGTGACACTATGAAGGTGCTATAAATCATTGGTGGGGAAATGGTCATGATCAATTCTACTTCCCCAGCCATTTCTATCAGGACAAGGCCCAACTCAAGATGTAAGCCACCTTTCAAGGTAAGAAGGGACCAAGTGTTAGGTCTGGGGTTTGTTTGGGGACAGATAGGGTCACAATGATTCTTCCTTGCTACTCACTTCTCATCGGGGAGGAATTTAGGGCAGGTATCTTGGACCTACAGAACCAGTGATCGAAACAGGTAGGCTGAGCTTAGCAATTCCAGTTTGAATGAACCGGTTCTCCCCAGCCAGCGAGAGAGATCCAGGATTTAAATCCGGTTGACCCGAGGCCAATCAATTTGGAAGTCTGAACTGGAGGCATTGTAGTTGGTGTAGGGCCATACCACGACAGAGATGAAATTGAGTCTCAGGAGATTTAGCAGGGCATGGTGGGAGTCACACCATCAGAGGTGTATGATCAGAGCTTAATTAGGATTAATTGGAATATGAAAAAGTGTGCTCTTTCTGGTCACTATTACTACTGCTCCAGGGGAGGAAAATGTTACATGGGTCCTGATGGACCAGTGGAGAAAACACCATTAAAAAGAAAAAAAAGATGAACATTTTCAGCACATTCTGCTTTTGAACCTCTTCTGTCCACTGATTAAGGCTAGTTCATTGATAAGTCACCTGCTTTTTAACAGGTACCTTTGAATAACTTTGCATCTTCCTCAGCCATACCCTTATTCTTTACAAAATTCCTGATTTATCCTAACAAGCTGACACCCATCTCTTGCCCATAAATGATACCCTTTGAGCTTCATAACGAATGGAACTCGCAGCATTGGGAAAGATTACTCCATCCCATTGTTTTGCTGATAAAACAAGGTTGTTACAGTAACAAAAAGATATTTTCCAGCCATCTGAAACTCAAGGCAACATCACCAGTTCTCATTTCCCCCACAGAAAGATATTTTCCAGCCATCTGAAACTCAAGGCAACATCACCAGTTCTC